CCAGCCAAGCCTCCTGCTCAGGAGAGCTGGCCAGGTCACGGCTCCTAGCCTGTCATCCAGGCCCCATCGCTGGGCTGTTTCTCAGACCTGTGCTCTCATCTGGCTCACTCCTCTCACTCCCGACTCTCTATCCCCACCCTGCCCATTTCCTGAACGAAACTTTCAGCAACTCCTGCACTCCACAGTCATCTCAGTGCTAGCAGAGGTGGATATTCTGCGCTTCAGTACCCAACCTAGTGCTGGTCACTTGTGTGACCTTAAGCAAACCTTGGTGTCCTCAACTAGAAACTTTCAGCAACTCCTGCACTCCACAGTCATCTCAGTGCTAGCAGAGGTGGATATTCTGTGCTTCAGTACCCAACCTAGTGCTGGTCACTTGTGTGACCTTAAGCAAACCTTGGTGTCCTCAACTGTGGGGGATAATCATGATACCTTCCTTCTAGGGTAGTTGTGAAGATAAAATGAGGCTACAGAGGTAATGTGCTTGGCTGTCATACAGTAAGTGCTTAATAAATATAAATTGTGATCATTGAGCAATTGTCCACACTACCCATTTTATACTAATGTGTGCTTTATTGCATTGTTGATTATTTGCATGTATACAGAGGTAATGTGCTTGGCTGTCATACAGTAAGTGCTTAATAAATATAAATTGTGATCATCGAGCAATTGTCCACACTACCCATTTTATACTAATGTGTGCTTTATTGCATTGTTGATTATTTGCATGTGTGTGTGTGTGTGTGTGTGTGTGTGTGTGTGTGTGTGTGTGGCTTCTGTCCCCAACTTGATGGTCAATTTCAAGAGGGGAGGGGGATGTGTTTTTCTCATCTCTGTGTCTTATGGAACACCTAGCATGGTGCCTGGAACACACTCTGGAAATACTTGGGGACGGATTGAGAAACTGCCCCACGTTGACTGTACCCTGCAAATAATGGAACAAATACTGGAAATAGAAGGGCAGGGGGTGGAGAGAGGCAGGGGTCCAGGAGAGACTGAGAAGGAGAGTGTGAGGGAGAGAGAGAGATAGAGAGTTTAGACACTCTACCTAGATTCTGGCAGAAAGCAGTGCTCCAATGGGCCCTGACAAGGCTTCATAATTCAGTAATCTTGTCCTACTGAAATCATGCCAAACTCAAAAATAATAACCACTTAGTGACACTGGTACAGGGATGACTCCATCAGTCATTGGAGGGTCTTTCATTAGGCTGATTCCCAGGGATACTGACCTCTGATTTGTAAGAACAGCCATCATGGTCTGCTTTCTGAGCTTCCACTCACCCCAAGAGAAATGTCAGCTCCCCTCTTCAGTCCTCAAATGAGAGAATGTGTTAGGGGTGCCTCTAGTTCTGTCTCTGTTGTCTTGTTTGTGGTGTGGTGGTGGTGGTGTGTGCATGAAACAATGGGATTGTTTTTCTTGCTGGCAACAGGATGCTAGCTCCATAACTTGCTGGGAAACAGAACAGGCTGTCTGTACTATCTTTCCCCCTCTTTCTCTCTTCGGTGAAAAAGTGGAGAGCTGATTTTAATGGATTGATTTTAATGGATTTTGAAGTCTGGAAAAGTGCCCAAATTGCTGAGGTTACCAGTTTTCCAGGTTCTTTTTTCAATTTCATTCTCTTCAGTCAAACATAGAGTATGCTTTCTGGGGAAACTAATGTGGTCACTCCAGACAAGAAGAGGTTCCCCTATGCCCCCCAACCAAACAGACAGCTGTGAATACAGCCTCAGCTGGCAGAATCACCTGTTATTTCATTGTAGGGGAGCATTTTATTGGTTCTGTCCCTACATTTGCTAGCAGCACACTTTCTCTGATCTCAAAGGAGAGAACCATCCAACAATAATAACAGAAGTTCTGCTTTCTGGAATCAAAATGACTCCACTTGAAAGCATAATTTTACTTGGTCATTTTGTTTCTCATTTGTCTGCAGTGAGTTTGTGTGGGGATGCTGTGCCCTCAGATCTTGGAGCTGCAGTCCTCTCTTTTGCCAGTCCCTCCCCCCATGCGCCGTGCCTGCCCTGTGAGTTGTGTGACGAGGTTTTGGAGGCCATGAGTCTCCCTGTGAAGCCTTTGAAGAAAGGACAGTGTTCCAGGCACCACAAGAGGACTCTAGGCTATGTTTTAGCTCTGCAGTTCGCCTCTATCCTCCCCCGTCCCCCCTCCCAACATACATTCACATTCCTTTCTGGCCTTTCTTCCAAACTTGCCCAACTTGTCTTTGTGACTTCAGAAAAATGCCACTGGATCTCCCCATATGAAGGATTAGCACAGATTATGGGGAACAGTGTTAATTATCGGTGGAAGGGGGGCTGGCGTGTCACTCCAATGTGCTCCTGATTTCCCCTGGGCTTTTCTGCCTGGTAATAAGCCTTCTTTAATCTGGCAGGCCCCTTGGTGAAATCAGCACCACGGACAGTGATATTGATTGCTTCTGAGAAACCATCACAGCTGCTTAACCAAATTACCTTTGATATGTGACCTTTAATGTAATTACTGCAACATCAAAGTATTTCTATAAATTATTAAAGAACTAATACACTCCATCATTTAGCTATCCTATTATATGTAAAATAAACAACCACAAGTTAATGTTAGATCCTGAACAATCCACACTTGTTACTGAAATTCACCGGTTCTACATCTTAAGCCTCCCCCTCCCACCTTCTCTCTTTCTGTTTCCCCATCTGATTCTGGCTTTTAGCCTAAACAACCACAAGTTAATGTTAGATCCTGAACAATCCACACTTGTTACTGAAATTCACCGGGTCTACATCTTAAGCCTCCCCCTCCCACCTTCTCTCTTTCTGTTTCCCCATCTGATTATGGCTTTTAGCTATCATGAAACTCCCCAGCAATCTCTCTCAGGCTGATCAAGGGCCTCCCTTAACAATGTGGTATTTTCTATTCCATTTGGGTGGCTCTAAAATATCTATCACAATCTCCCCCAAAACAAAGTACCATAAACACTTTATTAATCAGCACAAACCTTTCTCAGAAGCCTTTGATTATCTTACAATATGGCTTTATGCTTCACACATAACATAGGGCGATGTGGAGCATATTTCTGCCATCTTACAGAGGGCACCCAGAAAGTAATTACTATAATATATGTTCATGTAACTGCGCCACTAAAAAACCAACCGGGGAATGGCCACCCTGCCAGAGCTGGGCTCCACACAAAATCTGTGCGGTGCTCGATTTCCATACATTTGCATCTGTGGGTATGTTATTAAGAAGAGTCAGCCCCGTGCTTTGAAATCACAAACACCAAAGTACAATACAAAGGCTGTCTTAATGGGAGGAAGGCCGTGTGTAATTCAGTTCAGCACTCCCCACCCCTAAGCGAGTAAAGAAAGATCTTTGATGCAAAGAAGGCTGCCCCCTCCCGGGGCTGCATTTTCTCTTCGTCTACCTGGTTAACCTTTCCTGCTGTGGGGCAGAAATGGAAACGTGTGTTTACATAGGGTTTGCTTGGTAAGAATGTAAACATGCCTGTGTAAGCATGGGTATGCATACATATAGAACACACGTACTTCCCTGCAGTGCCCATGGTATAAGCTCAAACGCCGTACATTTGTAAATTATTTAAATTATGCCCACAAACACACATCTTTCCATTTATCTTTAGATACTCAGCAGCCGTATATCTCTCCCTCCCCCATCTCTCTGAACCCACAGGAGAGACCGCAGACCCTTGACCCGAGGAACACTTCTTATTTTATGGTGATGAACTGGCCTCGATAATAGCCGTGGCTGATATCACACCCAGTTAGGGGGGCCATAAATAATTCTCTTCTCCCCCGCACGGAAGCTATAAACCAGGGCCGAGGCGCGATAGTTTATCAAAGACGAGGGCTGGCTCCTTAAATAAACCGCGGTGATGTCACTCGCGGCGCCGAGCTCGGCCCGGGAGGCGCCCCCTCCCACCCCGGCCCCCACCTCGGGGACAGCCCGCGGCGGACTCGGTCGGCGGCGCTCGGGGGCCCCGCA